CAAATGCTTGATGAATGAAAGAATACATTTCTGAAACTACATTCACCATACTTTCTACATTTTAAATGCCTTCCTGGCAATGTTTATCATCTGAAATGGTAATTCCACTTCTAGCAGTTTATCCCAAGGAAATCATCAGACACACACACAAAAATGTATAAATAAGGATGTGCACTGCAGTGCTATTTACAATAGTAAAAACTGGAAATAACCCATATACTAGAGCATTATGCAATTATTAAGTGTCAAGTACTCAAAGGCTGATAAAGCAGGAAAATGCTAACCATATGGCATTAGGTGGGGGGAAAAAAACTGGTCACAAAGCTATACATGTGATTCTGATTGTTTTTTAAGTACTGATAAAACATATTGAAAAAGCCTGGCTGGATTGTCACTAAAATGTTAACAGTGTTGATTCTTGGGTCACACGACCAGTAGTTTTAATTTTCTACTATATGTTTTTCTGACTTTTCCAAATTTTCTATAATGAATAGGTGCCACTACTACAATTGTAAAAGGAATGTCTGGGGTTTTAAATGTGCCCAACAAGATAAGGAAAGGGGAAAGAAAGAACAAAGGTCCTAGGGCCTGAGGAGTACATCCTTGGTATCAGGAGTCTCACAAGCATCAGCTCACCTGACCATGCTACTAGCCCTCTAGACTCTCTATTTCCCATCTTACAGATGAGAAAACAGGCTCAGAAAGGTGAAGCAACTTGCCCCAAGTCACGCAGCCAGTGACTCTGGAAGCCCAGGCTCATTCCATCCCACTGTGTGCACACATTCTCCACACATACTTGGAGTGGAAATGTTTTTTAAAAATACAAGGAACTATTGGGTTGTTGGAAAAGTCGTGACATATTTTTTCTGTTTTTTGTTGCAAAAATGCATCATGACTTTTTTGACAACCCAATATATCTTAGAGTCTCCAGGCCACAGGGTTTCTAGCCTGGCTTGTTGGCCCTGTGTATAACATACCATAAACAGCAGGCATGATTCTGCCTGTTGGTGCAGGATTGGACATCTGTTATCTCAACCAATGCTCACAGGGATCCCCATGAAGTGGGCAGGGCAGGGATGATCCCCTCATCACCTTGCAGAGAAAAGACACTGTACCTTCAAGAGGGGAAGTGATACCAAGTCAAGGTTGTTTGATGGATGAGGTGCGGCTGTGCAAGCTGCTTTTACCCTCCTCCCCAGCCCTTCATCATAGCCCTCACATCCTCATTCTCCCCCTCCTCCAAAAACAGTGAAATCTGGGATGCTAGTGAGACCAAAGAGTAAATTCCAGAGCAGTGAAATCAAGTCAGCATTAAAGACAGCACATAATTGAGACAGGAGGCGCATGAATGAGGGCACCGATTTTCCCAAGTTGACCTGAGTGGGCTGCTGGGTCAGCTGGGGCTTCACCTGAGACTGGCAGACTCCGTCATCTCATCTCACCTGCCCGAGTTTCCAGCACTCCAAACACCCAGAGAAAATTGCTGAAGACAGGCTACAGGAAGGAAAGAATTGGATCAACTTTTATTTGGTTGTTAAAGAGGTAATGGCAGTTGACCCCTGAATAACATGGGTATCAGGGGCACCAACTCCCCCCCCCATAAGGTCAAAAATCCCCATATAACTTTTGACTCCCCCAAAACTTAACTACTAATAGCCTACTGTTCACCAGAAACCTTACCGATAGCATAAACAGTCAATTAACTCATATTTGGTATGTTATATGTATTATATACTGTATTCTTACAATAAAGTAACTAGAGAAAATAATGTTACTAATAAAATCACAGGGAAGAGAAGATATGTTTACAGTATTGTACATATTTATTGAAAAAATCTGCATCTAAGTGGACCCACTTGTTCTCAAGGGCCAACTGTACATACTTTAATTCTTTCAAAAGGAGTGGGCAGTAAAGAGTGTCCCTCCCACCCCCATACTTCACCCTCCTCCACCTTTCTGGTCTCTCAGAGTCCTCCTTGAAGACAAATTTTCCCCCTGGCTTCTCTTAACTCATTCCAGAGTCTTGCATACATATGCAAAGCATATATACACAAATGACAATCAAATTTCAAATACACTTTCTCTCCCTCCCCTTAATTTTAGACATGTTGAATAAGGGACTCAGCAGCCCTAGGTTTTCATCCTTGCTTTATCATCACTGTGCACTGTAAACTTAACTTATCTGAGACTTGCTTTCCTCATCTGTAAAATGGGTTGAAAATCCCCCCAGGGCTGCTGTGCAGATGAAACTGGATGAAAAACTATATGAAAAATTCTAATTCTATTTTTTTTTATTTTACTGCAGAACAGCCATGGTCATTGGTTACACATTGCTTTCATGCTACAATGGCATAGTTGACTCTTTTAGGGAGGGCACAGCTCACAGTGTCCCACGTGGGGATCGAACCGGCAACCTTGGTGTTATCAGCACCACGCTCTAACCAACTGAACTAACCAGTCAACAACCCCCATTCTATTTTTTAATACTATAAATAAATATGGAAAAGGCCTGGGTCACAGTGAGGGGGAAGTGGGTCAATGAAGTAGACATATTTGGGCCCATCCCCAAACCCTGAGAGTGTAGCAGCTCCCCTAGGAGAAGGGTAGCAGGCTCCTCTGTGAGATGGACAGACGCTGCAGGCCTCATTTGAAAGCAAGCCTTCATCTTCTTGGTCTTGGAGACTTGGAGTCTTGACAATGTTGCATTTTCTGTCACATGCTGGTCTTGGGGCCATCCCTTGCATACAAGATGTGATTGAAAAATACAGTGAGTGATTAAATAAAAAAATTATTACAGTAAAAGACACATTGCCATTAATCTCCCTCGCTTTGAACACACGTATCTCATTGTTCTTGCCACTTTCTGAAGTAGTTTTGGAAGTCCTCTTTTGTGAGTGTCCTTAGTTGTGCTGTCATGGCTGCCTTGATGTCCTGAATCGATTAAAAACGTTTACCTTTCATGGTCATTTTTACTTTGGGGAAGGGCCAGAAGTTGCATGGTGCTAGATCCGGTGAATAAGGTGGATGAAGTCACACCATAATGTTTTTATTTGACAGAAATTGCTGTACCAGAAGCAATGTGTGACACAGAGTATTGTCATGATGAAGGATGACGTAAAGACACTCATGAGTGAGGACATTCAGGACCGCTTCAGAAAGTGGCAAGAACGATGGGATAAGTGTGTTTGAAACAAGGGGGAGGATTTTGAGGGGGAGTAATGGCAATGTGTTTTTTATAGAATAACTTTTTTCATTTAAACATTTACCATATCTTTTTTTTTAAGATTTTATTGGGGAATTGGGGGAGGGGAACAGCGTTGCAACCCAGCTCCAGGTCAAGCTGTTGTTCACCATCTTAGCTATAGAAGGCGCAGCATCACTGACCCTCATGTGGGATCCAAACCTTGGCCCTGCTGCTCAGAGCTGGCATCCCAAGCCAACTCCTAACCGACATGCCACTTGGCCAGCCCTACCATATCTTTTGATCACACCTTGTATCTGTCATGAGTCCCCTGTCCCTGCCCAAGGATCCAGTTTATATTAAGGGCCCCTTCCATCTTCTGGGTCAGAGAGAGGCATGTAGGCAGGACTGAGAAATCATTGACTGGCCTTGAAAGTTGTCAATTAATTTTCACAACTCTTCCTGAACCCCTGAACTGGGGTTCAGAGCCTAGGAAAGGAAAACTGTGACAGCCACAGAGATGTAGAGGAGCCAGGCAGACAGGATGGTAGAATCCTTCACAAGGTCAGCCAAGAGCAGGGCCTGAAATCGTCTCCTCTGGTCAAGGTCAGACCAGCAGACATTCTACAAATGGCCCTTTAACTCCTGTTGGGTACAGGCCCCTGGGTGGGATCATTTGTCTGTCCTTCTACTACCCATCTGTTTGTCTTGTCAAAACTGCCTGCTGAGGCCTAGCCCAAGACAAGCCCCAACTTTGGCACAAGGCCACATCCTAAGATGAATCAGATCAGGCCTGCTGGAGCCAGTGGGTAGAAAACAAAGGATGTACCAGGTGGAGGGCACAGCAAAGGCCAGGACTGGACGGTGGGAAAATGTTGGGCCAACGCAGACACTGAGGTTGCATGCAGGGTGGGAGGCCTGAGCTCCCAGCAAGTGTGTGGAAGGTCATGAGGAAGCAAGGAAAGGAGGGACAAACTGTGGGCTGCACAGGGACAAGTAGAGTCCCGGACAGAAGGAGGAAGCAATGGAGAGAATGAGAGGGCAGAAGGCAGACCCTCAGACTTGGTTCCAGGGGAAAGCCAGCTGGTATCTATGGGTCTGTCTGTATTCATGCCCATTGATTAGTGCCAAAACTCCCTACTTTCCCTTTAAGGTTCTTCCCAGGCCAGGGGTTTGGCTTGTCACTCCTGCCCTTCCCCTCCACTAGGGCTCCTAGACCCCCACACCTACAGGACTCCCTTGCCCCCAGCACAAAGGGGAAATAGTAAAGAGCACAGTGTCTGGAATGAGCTAAACTGGCTAGATGGCCTAAGGCAAGTAATTTCACTTCTCTAGACCTCATTCCCCTACTCTGTGAAAGAGGGATAATGGCAGTACCACCCAATGTTGTAGGAAAGCTGAGAGAGTTAGGTAACAGGACGAGCCCAAAGCTCCGCCCAGCACCTGCCACAGCGTCTGGCAAACAGGGAATCTCCGGTTCTGGACACTTGATGGTCAGTCCAACTTGCAGTTTAAAGGGGACTCTCCAATCCCAGAGGACAAAGGGCCCAGAGCCGAGGTCCCGGGTGGTGGGATTTACTGCTCAGGGAGAAGCCTGGAAGGGGAGGGTATGTGGAGAAACTGGGCAGCCCTCAACAGGAGCGGTTTCTCGTGTTCCAGAGCCTGTACACGTGTTGGAAAAAAGGAGGGAGAGTCGTCCAGCCTGGGCAGGAGTGGGTGCGGGGAGAAGTTTACATCCCCCCGACCCCCGCATCTCCACTCCGGGCTCAATTGGCCTGCGGATGGGGGCCGGGTAGGGCCGGCCTCTCTTGCCCTGCGTGGAGGTGGGGGCGGGTCTCCCGGGAACTGCTCCTCCCGCCCGCCGCCGCTTTAAGAGGCTGCTCCGCAGCAGCAAGCGGGGCCGGAGCTGCAGCCGGAGCGAGCGGAACTGAGCCGAGCCCGCAGGTGCACGGCTGAGGGGACAGCAGCGGCATGACGGGCCACCACGGCTGGGGCTACGGCCAAAACGACGGTAGGCGCAGACCCCGGCCGGCACCGATCCGCTGAGACTCGTTCCCGACCCTTGCGCACGGCCGGGTTTCCCGGACGCGCAAGTTCCCCACCCTTCAGGCCAGACCTGGACGTCCCCCCCTTCCCATCCAGCCCCCAAAACCAGGCCCACCTGCGGGGCCCGAGCCCTGGCTCCCCCGCTCCTGGCTCAAAGTCCGCGCTGCGCCCCAGCTGGCCCAGCCACCAGCTGCGCTGTGCCGCTTCCTCCGCGCAGCCCCTGACGGCCGCGCTCTCTCTGACCTGGGTCGCGACACTCACTCATCCCGGACTGGAGCAGGGAATGAAGGTGGCCCAGGGCAACGCGGGCGGTCGGGGCGCAGCGCTGTGCGCGGGTGCTTGTGAGGGGAGCGCGCACGGCGTGTGTGCGGGGACCTCCCGAGAGCCGGGCTCCGCTGGGCAAGGGCGCGGTGTCCCTGGCAGAGATTTCCCCGCCGGGTGTCCCAGCTTACCTGTCGACAGGTACGTAAGGCAAGGGGACATTTGAGGTGCACGCATGTATCAATCAGGGTGTCTGAACACGTCCCAGTGTGAGGCATGGGAGCCCGTGGCCCACACCAGCCTCCTCATCTGACCAGGGAAATAGCTCCTCGATTCTGCCTCAGTTTCCTGAGGATGCAGAGGAGGAAGAAGAGGCAGAAAGTGAGAGCCAGATGGCTTGAGTATGGGTCTGGGACAGGTCAGTTCCCTTTGGGGATGTTTCTTATGAAGCTGGGGCGGGGGTGGGAGTAAGGGTTTCCCCCTTTCCCTGAGGTGAACAAGGAGGACCCAAGATCCAGGCTGCCAGGAGAAGACTCGGGGAGGCAGGTGGGACTTGCTGGAAGGGAAAGTGCTGGTGGGGGAAACACTCCTCATCCCCACTTCTCTGTGGAGAGGTTGTCACTCTGTGAGGGGGAAGGAGGGTCCTAGACTACAGTCTGGGGGTCAAGAGGTTGCAATGGGCGGGAGGAGGGAGTTCAAAAGGTGCTGTGGTTTCTCTGGCCCCCTCTGGGATCCCAAGGACACAAAGCATCTTCTGGAGGGGAAAACCCCAGATCAGAGCATGCAAAAGCTAGAAAGACACATTCAGACAAAAAGCAACAGAGATCGGCAGAGATGGTGAGAGAAGTGGAGAAAGGGTAGGTTGACAGAACCCATAGAAGATCATCTTCCCCCCCAGCACCTTCTCCATGCCAGCTTTTGGAAGCTTCCCCGAAAGTCAAAGTCCCCTGACTCTAGCCTTCTTGTTAGTCCTGGCCACCAGCTCTGAGCCCCCAGTATCCTATAGTACATGCCCCATGGCTAGCCACCCTCAGACTGCTGTCCCTCACCCAGCCAGACCCAGATCATCAAGTCCAGGGACACTGAGGGAGGGAAGGACAGGGGATAGAGGTGCTGGCATGCTCGCAGGACTTCAAAAATAACCCAGTGAGTCTGGGTCACGATTCTGAGTCATCCAGTGGGGACACGGCTCTGTCGGAACCTGCTGCTATTTTCTCAGGAAAACTTAAGAAGCCAAAAAACTGGGAGAAGCACCAGCCGGCAATCGCTCTAAAAATAGGCTGCATCTCAGGATGTACCCCAGGGAGATGCTGAGCCTCTCTCTGTAGATGGAGCCTCTAGGAGGCAGGTGGTGGGCGCCAGTGGGTGTGTATGCAGGTGTGTGTGTGTGTGTGTGTGTGTGTGTGTGTGTGTACACATGTGTTGCTGGGCCTGCCTGGCTGTTCTGGGCCCAGTGAATACAAGTCACTGTGCACATGTGCACACACATGAAAATCTCTATGGAGCTGTAGGAGTATGCCTGGAGAGCTGGAGGCAGCATATGCACATGCTGTGTTTATACCAGTGCCCAAATGTATGTGTGTGCCCATGCATGAGTGACCCTCAGTTCCCTCATCTGTGAAATGGGGATCAAGCTGGTTTCTACTTCACAAAGTGGTTGTGAGGAACAGATGCATGTCACAGAGCCAAAGCCAGGACAATGGGAGCTTTTGTTTTACTATCACAAACAACAACACAAACATGGCCAAGGTGCAGGAAGAGACCAGATACCCAGTAGGGTCAGGTCAGGGACTTCAGATGCCTGTGGGCCTCTCTGAGCATGTATTAGCTGTTGAAGAGAACTCACTGCCCCAGAACCGCCCCTGAGCCCATGGCTGTATTATGCTCCCTTCCATACATTACCTCTCTGGGCCTCCTATCAGCTCCAGGTAGTAAGGTTTAGTGAGGCCATTTTGCAGACAAGTAAAGGGAGGCTGAAACAGAAGGGAAGTGGCAGAGCTGGGATTGGAGCTCCAGGCTGCACAGTTCCCCAAGCAGGGGCTGTCTGAAAAGATACCAGGGTGACCATCCCCCACAGGTGCCCCTAGCCTGCAGCCCAGAGATCTGGGCTGGCCTGAATCCTTGCTCTATCCCTACCTACAGGCCCCTCACAGTGGCACAAACTGTATCCCATTGCCCGGGGAGACCGCCAATCACCAATCAATATTGTATCCAGCAAGGCACTGTTCTCACCCAGACTGAAGCCACTGAAGCTTTCCTATGAGGGCTGCACGTCCCTCAGCATTGCCAACAATGGCCACTCTGTCCAGGTGGACTTCAATGACAGCGATGATCGGTCTGGTAAGTGGTCCCTGACAGACCCTGGCAGCCCTCCAACTGGGGTCCTAACCCTGTTTTGGGCAGGCTCAGGAAGGGCAGCATGAAAGGAGAGCTCCATCTCTCACCAGCTATGAAGCCATGAGCTGAGCCTCAGGCTCCTTAGGCATAAAATAGGAGTAATAAGGCCTTGTTTTGCTCCCTTGGATCATAGAGAGGAAAAATAAAAAACCTAAAGTGATGTTCATATGGCTGGCATACAGCAGATGCTCAGAAGCTCAAGAAATGCTATTTCCCTTCCTTCTCTTCCGTTTAGTGCTTTAGGTCAGGTTTGTTTTCATGCTGCCCCATCATTGACCTGCTGTGTAGCCTAAGGCCAAAGACTCTTCTCTGTGCAATCTGGCTAATCCCAGCAAAGAGAGAAGGAAGCTAAAATGTTTTGAGTGCCAGGCCCCTTGCTAAGGTCATAGGCAGCTTTTATTCCTCTCAAGAACCCACCTCTAAGATGAGCAAGTAGAGACTCAGTGAGCTGGGGAAAGCCCAAAACAGCCTCGTCTAGCTCCAAAGATCTTCTCTCCAGTCAACATACAACTTCAAGATTCCAACCATCTTGGGCCAGAGAGAAGCCAGCAGGAAATTGGGGCACTCTTTTTCCAATGTCTCTTTGCCCTGGGATTAAAGTCCAGGTTCTTTCATGATAAACTCCTAGGCAGAGGCCTCAGAAGTGCTCTTCAATGAAGGGATTATATCCTTATGATCAGGCCTGTGAGGGGTGGAGTGGGGCAAGGAGGAAACCTGATAGAGTTTCTTGTGTAAGGAAGTGACTGGAACTCTGCCCCCCCCCTCACCACCCTCACCCCCCACCCCCACACACATAATAAAAGTACTGACGGGAACTTATGTTTCAAATAGAAAAATCAAAGGGCAGAGAAGTGGAGGGAAGCTAGATAGGAGTCATCTTAGTTGCTTAGCCCTGAGTTCCTTGGTGGGCTAGGAAAAAAGGGAGAGGATCAATTATAGTTCTGTTGCAGAAGGGAGGAAATCCTGCAGATCCTCAGAGGAGAGACACAGTATTTCCTGGTACTGAATTCTAAGAAAAGCTTAGAGCTTTTCTAGAGCTTAGGGGAGGGACATGGGGCTCTTGATGACCCTAGATGAGTTTATAAAGGAACAGTTTTCATATAGCCGTACCTTATAAACAGCCTTCAGAGGGCAGTGAGGGTTCAATTCAGACATCAGTAGCTCAGTGAGGGCCACTGTTGTTGGGGGAGGGCCCAACGGGTCATGTCTCCGGACCACTGATCCAGAGGCTCACTTTCAGACCTGGCTAGGGTTCCCTCCTGTACCAGAGTGCCCAGGCCTGAGGGGGCAGGGAGCCAGTGGAAAGAAGTTGTACTCAGGAGTGAGATAGTTGGGGCTCTGCCATTCACCAGCTATGTCACCTTGGGCAGGATACCTACCTTTCTGAGCTTCAGTCCCATATTATCCAACAAGGGTAACAATGAGGCCCCCTCAAGGTCTCTGTGAGGGTTGATGCCTACGGAGTGCTGAATACATAGCATGTGCACAGTGAATAGCAGTGTGTTCTATGGTCAGGACGAAAGGAGGAGGTTAAAGGAGCCAAGCTCAAAAGAGTTAGGGAGGGAGTTCACTCACTGAGACGCTTCACTCTAGAGTCCCAGGTAGGGCAGGGGTGGGCACCCACAGGCTGTATCAGGGAGTTCAGCCTGCTAAAGGCCCTGCTTCTCAGATAAGGCAGGGCAGCAAGGAGGGGCCTCTGGACTGTCCTGTCATCCTCCTCCTCAAGGGGCCCACAGGAGTCAAGGCCCTGCCCTGGTCACCCATCCTGAAGGGGGCTAGTGGAACTCTGAGCCTAGGGTTGTCACCTGATCTATGGGCTCACATTCAGGCCTGGCCGGAGCTTTCTCCACTGCCAGATCCCTTTCAGCTAGAAATTCAATCAGTCCCAGGAGGCCTTGTGTGTGGCCCCAGCTCACTGAATACCAGGGTAGGAAAGTTACAAAAACAGCATATGAGGTCTGACAATTAAGTTCGGGAACTTGTTGCAACAATGTTGCTAACCTTTTTTTTTATATCAGAGGGATTATTCATTATAAATTTCTACCACCCGGACAAACAGTTAACCAAGTGTACTATTTGGAAGAGCTGAAAAGGCTGCGTGAAAAAGTTAGACGACCTGAACTTTTCGCCAACCATTCATGGCTCTTGCATCACGACAATACACCAGCTCACACGGGCACTGTCTGTGAGGGAGTTTTTAGCCAGTAAACAAATAACCGTATTGGAACACCCTTCCTACTCACCTGATCTGGCCCCCAATGACTTCTTTCTTTACCCGAAGATAAAGGAAATATTGAAAGGAAGACATTTTGATGACATTCAGGACATCAAGGGTAATACGACGACAGCTCTGATGGCCATTCCAGAAAAAGAGTTCCAAAATTGCTTTGAAGGGTGGACTAGGCTCTGGTGTCGGTGCATAGCTTCCCAATGGGAGTACTTCGAAGGTGATCATAGTGCTATTCAGCAACGAGGTATGTGGCACTTTTTCTAGGATGAGTTCACGAACTTAATTGTCAGACCGCCTAAGTGGAACCCACCAAAAAGGCCATGGGGGAGGGGCATTTGAGGTACCTGGGCCTGGCCATCGAAGTGGGGACCCTCAGGAGCTGGCCTCTTGATAATACCAGGTCCTGGGGAGGCAGCACATCCTGGTGATTAGGGGCTTCAGCTCTGGACTTACAAAGGAAATGCAGGCTTATAGCTTAGCTCAGTGCCTTGCTGTGTGACCTTGGGCAAATGCTTTACCCTCTCTGTGTCTCTGTTTCCTCCTTTATAAAATAGAGATACTAATAGGTTCTGTCCCTCATGGGGACTAAACAAAATAATCCTTCTGCTCCAACCCTGGGTCAGGGCTCCAGACATGGGAGGTCTATTGTTAGTGATAATGGGGGCCTGAGAGGCAACATCCCATCTTCCATGTGAAATGAGGCAGAAGTGGGGAGGATGGAGAGATGTACTCTGTTGGTACTAGACTCTTCTGCTACCCACGGGCTATCAGAATTTCTGCCCTGGCCCAGCTAAGGGTCTAGGGAATTGAGTGGAGACTGACCCAAGGCCAATTAGCCCAACCAATTTTCCAAATGAAAAATGTATCCCCCTCCAGGGCACTGCCCTGATCCTGGCACTACCACCTGCTGGGCTGTGTGGGTTCTCTTACTCGGATTGTTACACACCCTACTTCTACCCGCAGTGATGACTGGGGGGCCCCTGGATGGGCCCTACCGGCTCAAGCAGTTCCATTTCCACTGGGGCAAGAAGCACAACGTGGGCTCAGAGCACACGGTGGATGGCAAGTCATTCCCCAGTGAGGTAAGTGTCCTCCTCAACCTGAACCCTTTTACTACTTGGGGAAGGAGTAGGAGACTAGACAGTCAGCGGCTTGTGGGTGCCTGGAATGGGGCTCTGAAGGGAATGAGGAGGAGCACCCAGGGGCCTTTGACAGAGACACCCTCCACCCACCCCCAGTACAGGGTCCTCCACCTGATCTCTGCCCACTGCTGTCCTGGTCTGTATGTCCAGAAGGAATTTTCTGAGGGGCAAATCCAGTCCCACCGTATCCTCACTAACAAGCCCCTAAGGACTGAGCTTAGCATTCAAGACCCTGTATGAACTGGCCTTGCCAGGCCCCAACCTCTCCTCATGCTGGCCTGCAGATGGTGAACCACCTGCCCACACCTGGCCCTTTTATACCTCCAGGCTTTTGCCCATGTTGTTCTCTCTGTCTGGAATACCTGTCTCCCAGTGTTCCATCTGATAACCCCTAATTATTCTTTGGACTCAACTGCAGGTGCCTCCTCCTCAGGGAGTGTCACACTGGATGGCCATTATCTATTTCACAGTTAGTTCATGGAGGGCAGGGCCTGAGCCAGATTCCTCTTTGGTCCCCTGGGGCTCAAGAAAGGGTTAGGCCCAGAGCAAGGTGGATACACTCTGTGCCCTTTGGGGGCTCCCCAGGGCCACTCAGGAACCTTAGGAACTAGGTTTGACAGCGTGCCCCGCCCCCCCTGCAGAGGGGCCAAGAGTCAGGTGGGAGAGAGGGGAGCCTGGCTCTGAGCTCCCATGGCCCCTGGGAGGCGCTAAGCACTAGCCTGGCCTGTTGTTACCCATGCAGCTGCACCTGGTTCACTGGAATGCCAGGAAGTACAGCACCTTCGGGGAGGCAGCCTCAGCACCTGATGGCCTGGCTGTGGTTGGTGTCTTCTTGGAGGTGAGGAGGTTACCCAGCACAAGAAGGGTTATGGGAGGTCTGGTACTGCCCATAGTTCCAGAACACAGTGGTGCTGGGCTCATACTACCGTCTCCCTGACAGACGGGGGATGAGCACCCCAGCATGAACCGTCTGACAGATGCACTCTACATGGTTCGGTTTAAGGTGAGACCAGGGGTCCATGCCTCTGACCCAGAGCCTGGTGGGGAGGGAGCAAGAGGCTAGATCACAGAGTGCACCCATTCACTCTTCCATTCTGGCAGCAAACCCTCACTGAGATGAAGGTTGCAGGTCAGCGTCTGCACTATCCTGCACCTGATTCCTTTTCAACAGGGTCAGTGGCCCCATGGAGAGCCCAGCATGCAGACTGGGTGGGTATAGGATTGATATGATGCTTGTCACATTTGTTAATGGTCGTCCAACAGGCAATGCCACTAAGGGCCGCTGAAGGCACGGGAGAGGACATGATGGCCAAAGAGCTCCCGGAGCTTCAGCTTTTACATACAAGCAAATGGGTGAACAGGGCCCGGCCCCGGCTGGGAGATGGCATCTGGGATCACAGACATTTGCCCACAATTTGCATCAATGAGCCAAGGAGAAGCCTAGATCCCGCTGACAGAAATGGGTAGGGAGGCTGCTGGTCTGGTCCTAGTGGGAGGTATATGCTGATTTCTGGGTTCCCCTACCCTGCCCCAGGGCACCAAGGCCCAGTTCTGCCGCTTCAACCCCATGTGCCTCCTGCCTGCCCTCCGGCACTACTGGACCTACCCGGGCTCTCTGACAACGCCCCCACTGAGCGAAAGCGTCACCTGGATCGTGCTCCGGGAGCCCATCAGCATCTCTGAAAAACAGGTGAGTCCTCCAGGTGGAGCCTCAGGTGGAGGGATGCTGCCCTCAGGACCCACCCCAGACAATGTGACTCTTCCAACCAGCAACTCACAGCCTGTGGTCCCACCATCAAGGCTCCTGGCTTTTGCTAATAAACATTTAGATTTTTAGATGGGAGTTAGCTTGATTGATGGTCATCAGGACCTAGACACAGGTGGGAGGGGAAACCCCTGGATCCTGGGATCACGCCTACTGTGTTAGAACCTGAATGCCGTGTTTGCTGATAAGCCTGACAGGATTGGAACTGGAACTAGATGAAGCAGGGTCCAGGTTCAGAGGCCCTTTAGTCAGTAAATAACTGACATTGGGGTCCCAAAGAGAGAATGAGAGGGGAGGACTGGGGACAAACCCTAGGGCCAAGAGGAGGGAGAGGCAGAGCAAGCTGGGTGGGGTATGCCAGGTGACGTGTCTGGGATCAGAGAGGACCACAGCACCCCATTCTACCCTGAGTAACTCTTCTGCCTTCTCAAGATGGAGAAGTTCCGTAGCCTGCATTTCACCTCAGAGGAAGATGAGAGGATCCACATGGTGAACAACTTCCGGCCGCCACAGCCACTAAAGGGCCGTGTGGTCAAGGCCTCCTTCTGGGCCTAAGCTGCCTGCCTGCCCAGCCAGCCACTAGGGCACCATCTTCCCAAGGGCTTCCACCTCAGCAGACACCAAACCATATGAAGCTCCCTGCCTGGGGGTGCTATGAACCCCCTCCTACAGCTGGCTTGTTCCTTGGCCACCCTGGACGCTTCTTGATGGGATCCTGAATCTGAGGATACCCTTCAACTGCCCTGGGGACAGGAAGGACAGGAGCTGAGCGTGGTCCAAGCCTGGGACTGCCTCTGCTCTCCAAGACCCAAAGGCCCCTGGGAACCTCCTTTTGTCTTCCCCACTGGCAGTAGCAGCAACCCCACCCTGATCTCACACTGTGATGGACGAGACTGAGCCCTCTGGGGCAGGCAGCTGGCATTGTTAGAAAGACTCAAGCAATAATTAGAGGTGGGCAGAGCTGCCCTCTCAGCATTACCTCTTCTGCAGGCCTCCACCATGCACGAACATCACTGCCAGTCCATTAAAATCAGCACCCAGCCTGCTGGAGATAACATGGCCTTCTCCCTCCAGCCACCAGCTGCCATGAGCAGGCACTGCCTGCAGCTTATGTAGTATCTCCCCTCATTCCCACCCAGCCACCAAAGCTACCTACATGACAGTCCATCTGTGCAATGATTAATAAATTCATTCATCCATGCAACAAATACACATTGAGTGCCTGTGCTATGTCAAGTTCTGTTCTAAACATTAGGGAGGAGCTGGTGATGAGTCAAGCACAGTATGTTGGGAGGAACATGGATACTGAGTAGGTGAGGGTTATATAGAGGGCTGTAGGGGCAGAGAAAAGGAGGAGGCTACCTCGTCTGGTGAAGAAACTAAATTCCAGCCAGTATTCAAGGCAGGGAGAAGGGACTATGTTTGAAGCCAAGGGAAGAGCAGGTGTGCAAGCTCAGAGGTGAGAGAGAGCCCAGAGTGTTTGTGGAGCTGAAAAGGACCGATAGGAGTGGAGCCCTGAGGGAGAGCCTGGGACTCTCTCCCAAGGCTAATGGGGAGTCCTATGGGATCTGGGGTAAAGGCGAGGTAGGGCCAGATGTGCAAAGGGGTAAGATCCCTGTGGAGTATAGATGGGCAGGCAGGAATGGCAACTGGGAGGAGGTGGTGAAGTGGCTAGGAGAAAGGCAACAGGGCAGTGGAGATGGAGAGCAGGGGGCTGGATGAGAGATTTAGGAGATGGAGCCCTAAAGACAGCATTTGGCTATCTGTGAGGGACAGGGGAGTCTGGGTTGTGCCCCTGGGTGGAAAGTGGGGTCTCCACGTGAACTGGGAACCCTGGGGAGTTGCTGACCAGGGTGGGCACACAGCAGTTTCAGGCTACTGGAGAGGAGAACGAGGAAGCCGTAGAATGTTGGGATCTGAGCTGAGAAGGGATGTGAAGGGTGGGGGGCTGCTTTGGAGCATCTTAACTCAAGGTGGTAGGTAAGAGAGGAGGCCTAGGATGGCTGGAGGACAGTTTTGTCCCTGCCCACACTCCTGGTCTGATGCGGGGGCCATTTTCTACCTTCATGTTTCAGGTGCTGGTGAGAAGGGTGGTGCCTGAAAGACAGTATTTACTCAGCTTGGGAGCAGATGGCAGCAGGGATGTAATGTTGGTAATGCTGCCTCTGAAGGCAGGCGAAGGGCCTGGGGCAGATGTCTGGCTCTCTCTCTATGATCCAAGAACTGTCATTACTCTCATTTTACAGATGAGGATGATGAGGCTGGGCAAGTGGCAGAGCAGGATTTGAACCTGTATCTGTTTGATAACTCTCCTGCTCTATGCCAGAGCCACCTGACCCAAGGGAGGGAAGGATGAGCATGTTGGTGGCCACGTGGAGGTCACACAACAGGCCTGATGCTGCTGGTCCTGCCAGGGACCTTGGCCAGCCCCTCTTGGGGATGGTGGCACCACAGAGGACTTGAGAAATGGGAGCTGGTTTTATAATAATTATCCCAAGGCTGCCAAGAATCCTCACTCCCAAAATCCTTTCCTTTAATTCATTTTTTAAATTTAAAACTATTTTAAAACCAAAAAGTAGCCACTTTATGTTATACTCACACCCCAAGATTTGACCCTATTACATCTAAATGGGATGCACCAGCTCGTGCCCAAATGCCTCCAGCAAACCTGACCTCAAGAGACCCAGGACTGGATCCTGAATCCTCATCTGAGCCAAGACTGCCTCCTGGAAGTGACGCTGGGCACATGTGAAGCACTCAAAACAAGACGGGCTCTGCTTGCTTCCCGAGATCCCAGACAGGCCCTCTCTGGGGAGCCAATGTGGCTCTGAAAGAGACCTGGGCTGGTGGCCCAGGCCAGTGGTCACAGCATGCCCAGTCTGTACCCCAAAGAATCTCCTGGAGGAGCAGGCCCTGGACCCCACAGCGAGTCTCCCCTCTCTGGGGTGGGCCTCTGATGATGAGGTGACTGTGTAGACTCAGCCCCCCCAGAGCTTGGCCTGCAGAAGACTTGCTCCCAACCCGATGGTTACCTCTACAGCTGCCGCTGCTGCAGAGTGCTGAGCAGGGGGCTCCCCTTATGGCTGGCCAGGGACACCCACCTGCCAAGGCACTCATCCATAGAGAGAGTGGTCTGTGGCCTGAGCAAGGGTTGGGGTCAGGGACAGAGATGGGTCTGAGGTAACGGTTGCAAGATAACCTAACAAAGTTACTGAAAGAGTTGACACCTGGAAGGGGGCCACACTGACGTCCAAGCTGATTGGGCCTGTCAGCTACAGCTGGAACTGGCCTGGGGGTGGGGAAGGAGATCAGATAACAGTACCTGCCCAGCCTGGACATCTTGGGGAGACTTCCATGTCCATAGATCATAGCATCAACTCTGAACCCACCCTTAAAGGCAAAAATATATTGCTGGTTCATCAAGATTCTGAGGGGAGGGCCAGCCGAGTGTCTCAGTTGGTTAAGAGTTGGCTTAAGAGCACGAGCTCTGAGCAACAGGGCCGCCAGTTCGATTCCCACATGGGCCAGTGACGCTGTGCCCGAGCTGAGCTGTCGCTGAGCTGCCAACAGGTGGCAGGATGGCTCAGCTGGTGTAACAACAAGATTGCCTGCTCGATGGTGGGCTATGCTCACCCGCAACTAAGACTGAACTCGGCACCTTGAGCTGAGCTGCCGCCCGGATGGCTCAGTGGATAGAGAGTGCACTCTTAACAACAAGGCTGCCAGGTTCGACTCCCGCATGGGATGGTGGCTATGTCCACCTGCAACTAAGATTGAACACAGCACCTTGAGCTTAGAAGCCACGAGCTGCCGACGGGAAGCCAGATAGCGACTGGCACCCTCCACAACGAAGATTGAAGAACAACAACTTGGCTGGTCCCTTCCCCAATTCCCCAACACTGTTCCCCTCCCCCAGTTCCCCAATAAAATCTTTAAAAAAAAAAAAGATCTGAGCAGAGTGGGGAATGTGACTCTTTGAGCATGGAAGATTCTGGTATTCGTCCTGCAGCCAGAGGCAGGGCCTGGGAAATGCATCCCTTTCGGTGTCTTCTTTGCTCACAAACTCCAGGGCAGATGCACTGGCTTTCACACCTGGTCTTTGCACCACATATCACTCAAGCCCCCCAGAGCTTGTGTCCTCCTCTGTAAAATGAAAATTGAGTCATGTGAGTCACATACATAATTTAAAATTTTCTAGTAGCTCTATTTTAAAAGGTAAAAAGAAACAAGTATATTTAATTTGAATAATATATTTTATTTAACTCATCCAAAATATATTATCATTTTAATGTCATCAATATAAAAACATTAACAAAATATTTTACATTTTTTGTGTTAAATTTTGAAATCCAGTGTGTGTTTTATACTTACAGCACATCTTAACTCAGGCTAACCACATCTCTAGTGCCCAAGTGCGCATGTAGCCAGTGGCTACCATATTGGATAGTGCAGCTGGAAATGGATGTCTCCCTTTGCAGGGTCATCTGCTGCAAGGTTTCCATGCAGGCCCTCTGGCTTGGCCTGTAGCCAGGCAAGGTGGTGGCAGGAGTAAATCAGATCTGCTCCAAGACTCTGTCTTCCAGGGCAGTCTCAGAACACTTGATGCCAACTTGGCTCCCTCCATTCTCCACCAGGAAACCCCCTTAACCCCCACCTTACTCCAGCCTGGCTGACCCTGCCCAGGCCACCCTTGCAGGACCTTTGCTGTTCCTCTAGGAGAAAGGCCAAGACCTCAGCAAGGAGCTGACCATAAGAGGCTGTCAAGAGTTGGGGAAGGCAACAGTATCCCTGAGAAGGGTCCTGGCTTGGTTGAAGAGACTTGATTAGTCTGGGAGGGCTTCCTGGAAGAGGGGCCCAGAGCAAATTATGGTTGACCCTTGAACTACATGGGTTGGAGCTATATGGGTCTACTTATATGCAGATATTTTTCAATAAATACTGTAAATGTATTTTCCTTCTGATTTTCTTAGTAACATTTTTTCTTTAGTTTACTATATTGTAAGAAAACAGTATATAATACATATAACATATAAAATATATGTTAATCAACTATTTATGTTATCAGTAAGGCTTCTGGTCAACAGTAGGCTATTAGTAGTTAAGTTTCAGGGGAGTCAAAAGTTACACGCAAATTTTGGACTGCACAGTGGGTCAGTACCCTCAACCCCCGCATTGTTCAAGGGTCAACTATAGTTGGCATCCTCAGCAGCTCCTGTGAACATTTACCAGACAGAGAGGAAGAAGGCCTATCCCACCCCCCCACCCCACCCCCCGGGCATGTATCAACAAACAGGAGATGTGTGGCTGGGGACATAGGGGTCTCCAGGTCCTGGAGGCCTCAAATGCGAGGCAGATGTTTACCTTTCCATCCAGGGGCCATGAGGAGCCACTGGAAGTCTAGAGCAGGGGCTGAGGTCCTTCCGGATTGAAAGAAGAGGATCTTCTCTGCGGCTCAGAAAGCACTAGGCATTGCTTTGGCCCGAATCCACCTCTCAACACAGGCAAATTCTAGCAGGTACAATTCATCAGCTCCTCCTACTGCCCCGCCTTGGTCCCCCAGAATGGATTCATGCCTGGGCCCTAGCAGTTCCTGGCTTGGCTGTCTGTGAGTCTAACCTAAATCTCTCCAGCTGCAACCCAAATGTTTTTGTCTTCAGGTATGTGACAGGGTAAACAGGTGGCTCTTTATTCCCACTGAGTTGCTCTCTTAGGGCAGGTATTATGGGAAAGACATGGGGACACAGGGGCCCCAGTGTCAATTGGGCTCCCAGGGGACCCTCAGGTTTTCAGGAAGAGGCTCTTTCTCCTCCTCCTCCTCCTCCTCTCTCAGCTCGTGCTCTGGGCACAGATATCTCCAGAGGGCACATTGCCCTGTCTCTCCAGTTACCCAGGCCTCCGGGGAACTGGAAAGTGGGTCCTTGCTGCAGCTGCTGCTCCTGAATGTTCAGGAGTAGGTTTTGGGGGTTACAATTGTTTCAGCTAGAGGAAGCCACAACAGGAATCAATAAGCTGCCCGGGAACCCTGGAGCATCCAAGCTGAGAGAATTCCTGGTCTGACCCCATTCTACAGATAGAACAATTGAGGCACAAAGAGGGGAACAGAGTTTGCCAAAGTGAGTTGGTGGGAGACCCAGGATTCATGACTCCTGGTCCAATGCTCTTCACTCATCAGGAGAGCCTTATAGATCAAAAAGACCCTTATATCGAATAACTTCCTACTTGCCTGTCATGGAGCCTGAAATCCTGCCATTTGAGCATCAGGGCTCAGTTAAGACATAGTCCTAGATAAAATGCAAATGCCCACAGTTGGTAACACCTTATGGGGGTGCGGGGGCAATGATTTTATCACCTCCTTTTCAATCTGCTGTACGACCCCTTGTCTTGGTATCCGTTTCCACATCTATAAAATGGGTCTGTGAGAGGCCCAAGGGACAAAAAGTAGGACTTTAGGGAGGAGAGAAAGCAGATTTCCCAGAAGCGGAGTCAGGTTGTGACTGAGCTTGAGGCAGACAGCTCTGGATCTCAGGATGTGGGTCACCTCATGTGCCCCCTAAGCTGAAAGGGGCCATGGTGCTGGGCTAAAGCTGGCAGGAACAGGTGACTGCAAGATCCTCCCAAGACCCCCAGATCTTTGCCCATCAATGTGAAGGAGAATACCTGGGCTGAATTTTCTACCAGCACAATGTAATGAGGGCTCTGTGCTAGATTTAACTGGTTTACAGAAAATAAAGACATTCCATGTATTTCACATAACCAAGTCCATGAACTATGACCCATACAACAGCAATGTCTGTACTTTAGGAGAAACTGGTGCTTGGAAATGCTTTCTCTCCTAGGAGAACAGAGCTTTAATGGTATAATTTCAGGCAGGAGCCAGGTGAGCTAAAAAGATATTTGGGGGGCAGCCCAGCCTTTGAAACTCTAGCCCCAACACTAAACCCAGAAGCCTGTGGTTTCTGTTGAAAGTAGTGGGGACCTGAAGGGGAGCTCCTCACCCTGTGGAACTCAGTTCTGCTAGGTGCAGAGCTGCTCGCATGAGTCCTTTGACCCGGGTTGGGGTGGAGGGCTGCTTTAACTGGCGCTAGCACTGGCTCTGGCATCTCCTGGGGGCTCAGGTCAGAGCAGCAGCAGCCAGCTCTACAGTTGTTGAGGCGCCTGCCTCCATTCCAGAGTCCCGTAAGGTCAGATGTCATGCTGAGGAAAGAAACTCAGGTGTCTGGCAGCAGTCAAAAGCTCACCCAACTCAGCCAATTCACTGAGCCCTTGCTATAAGCTAAAACCCCTAAAGATGGACCCTTAGTGCCTTTGGCTAATGCCAGGAAATGTCAGGCTTTGGTTCCTTCTTTTTCTTCCCCACTTTACACTGACATGTGGTAGAACTGGGGTTGTTGCCGTGGGAACAGAGAAAGGAACAGCCAACAGTTAGGGTTCCACTATAAGACCCAGAGCCCCTTACCCCAAAGCCTTTTTACTTTAGCATAATTTCAGACTTATGCAACAATGGAAAAAAATAACACAATGAATGTCCACAGACTGGTCACCCAGACACCCCATTTTATCACATTTGTTCTCTCTCTCTCTCTCTCTCTCTCTCTCTTTCTCTCTCTCTCTCTCTCTCTTCATATATCGATATATACATTTTTTTAACTGAGAATAAGTTGCAGCCATGATACTCTCTTTCCCCTAAATACTTCAGTGGTTTTTCCTAAAAACAAGGACACGCTGTAACACAACCAATCAAAATCAGAAATAAAGAACCAAAATCAGGAAATTAACATTGTTACATACATCAACATACCTTATTCAGATTTTGTTAATTGTCCCCATAATGTCTTTTGTAATCCCCCCAAATTCCCAAGTCAGGCATTGCATTCAGTTGTCCAGCCCCTGTAGCCTTCTTTTCTCTGATAGTTCCTCCATCTTTGTCTTTCACGACATTGACATGGTTGGAGAGAGCAGGCCAGTTAGGTAGCAGGATGTCCCTCAGTTGGGTTTGTCAAATGTTTCCTCATGAAGAGATTCAGGTTATGAACTTTTTGTAGGAATATCATAAAAGTGATCCTGTGTTGTCTTCAGGCACACAATGTTAATTTGTTTCATTACTGGTGATGTTAACTTTGCTTTTTGGTTTAGAGGCTTTTTGGTGATTTTTTAAATTATTTTTTATTATGGAATACACATTTTTTAGAATTAGTTTCAGCTGTACAACACAGTACAATAGTTAATAATGTTGTAAATATTTTGTAGGGTGTCAGGTTTAGAGGCTTTTTAACTGAAGCATAACATATATACAGAAAAATACATATACTCAATGAAATTTCACAACCTGAACACACTTGTGAAACCACAACCCAGGTCAGCAAAAGTACATTTTCAGAACCCTGCAAACCCACCATGTCTTCTTCATCAAGCTCCCACCTCCCCAAAGTAACCACCATTCTCACTTCTAATAGTGTAAATCACATTTGTCTGGTTTTGAACTTCAAATAAGTGAAA